TCATATAAATTGTCTCATCCGATCTCGGTATATTTCTGACGTTCGTGCATAACATATGCTAAGTAATAACATACCTACATGTGTATTCATCCGAGTACACTAATAAATTTGTGTTGACTCAACTGCGCCGGGAGGACTGTGTTCATTATGTTCTCTCGCGTTACGATATTCTCGTGCATAAATCATAACGTGCTTGCTGTAGATAAAACATCTAAAAAAATAGTAATAAAAATTTGTTCGCACAACACTTGCGAGCTTTTGGCTAGCATAATCGATACACTCGTGTTACTTATTGACGAATATTGGACCGCGGACGTTGCCATAAATTATAAATTTACCGAGAAGGTCAAAATACTAGTGGGTTCTCGAGTTGTATGTTGAAAATGTACATAATTATTACTACGAAACAGTTGGGCTTAGACCTCGGACGCACGTGTCAATCGCAAATTTGCTATATTATACAGGGTGTATCAAAAGTAATGGCGGGGTTAAGAATGGGGGGTTTCAAACGGCTGTAGGTTGTGAAGAATCGGACCCACAGCGCTCTGGTAGGGCTTGAATAAAAGAGGGAGTTGTCAAATTTCTAATGATTGCCACTAGATGTCTCACAGTAGTAACTGAATAAGAGACATCTATAGTAGCAGTCATTCAAAACTTGACAACTCCATCTTTTATTTAAGTTCTACCAGAGCGATGTAGGTCCAACACTTCACAACCTACAGCCGTTTGAAACCCCACCATTCTTTTTGGCACACAATCTATACGCCTGTTGTTTTTATGTGTGTGGTTCCTTCTTGGAAGTTTTGGTATTAGCAATGAAATGAGACTGAAATCTTTGCCTTCGAGAATCAACGCATGAGTAGTGCATTTTTTTATAACAATTGGGATAGTACAAAAATCCATAACAGTATAATAACGAATAATAATGTACCGTTAGAAGATATCACATATATGTAGGTTATATTATAATATATGAGTATGTAAACATGTGGAAAGATTGCATGCTAACCGGCTACAAGTTTGACAGGGCTGTACCGTTTTAAAATAATGAAATTCCGATGGTCGACCGAGAAACGTTGCACGACCATAATACATTGAGTAGAAGTAGAGTAAACATGAAAAATGAGACTTTAAAAGTTTGGCTAAACACGCGAACCAGCTGGTTAAGTCACTGTCGCGGCTTACAGTTAAACATAACGTGATTAATTATTGTTGTTAACATAATGTCTGGCCAACATTTCAGAGTGGTACCTTGGGAGGTAAGGTAAGTGCGGTTGGCGTCTCCCAGTGGAATATTTTACACATTGTAATAACCGAGCAGTGAGATTTCCCATTGAAATTGTTGCGGCTATTTTGTAACAGGCCAGACAATTACACAAACAATGGTAAGATATATGACGATTGTCCCAACAATGTTGACAAAGAAAAAATTATGTCTTCAACGATTTGTTTGAAGTAGAATGTGTCTACTTGTCAGTACAACAAATTAATATTTGACCAAAAAAAATTCTCTGTTAGGTACTTTGTATTTTGTGAAAATTTGACTTTTTTTAACGGAGTTTGCGAAACATTTAAAGCAAATTTGTTGGCCAAACTATTGTAAGAGAGCAGATTTTCTAACGTTAAAAAAAATAAAATTGACACGAGATTCATATATAGAACACATGAATGTTTACTAATTTTTTAATGTTATTGCTAAAACAGCAAAGTAAGACGTGTAGTTAAAAACTATAAATAGTTTGTTTAGTTTCAAAAAAAAAAAACCAGAGTCATTTGTTTGTAATTTTTTTTTTTTCAATTCCTTTTTTAAAGAGTTACAGAAGTACATATTTTTGAATTTTTAGCTAGCGTTATATTTTTTGTATTTCTTCATCTAATAATAATCGTAATATAACAGCATGAAACAATGTAGAACACAATATGCAGTGTTTTCCTAATTAATATTTTCTTTGTCTTCAGAAAGGGTTGGGCATGGTAATAAAATATTATATTATCTATTGTCATAGTGAATTTAAAGTTTATAAATAGCACCACGAACCAAAAAAAAAAAATGTAGTGTTTATGGCATGACGTTTAAGCATAACCTACTGTGGGGATACGAGGTACACAAAGCTGAAATATATATTATTTTGTTTTCAAGTGATTCGGCTTTGAATGGATTTTTCTCAAAGTTAATATTGGGATTTGTCGCTTTGTTCCGTTTAAGTGTGACAAGTAGTTTGTTTAAGTTGGTGACGGCGATGACAAAAAGGTCTAAGCCCGGTTCGACTCTCGATCGCTGACTGTTTCTTTTCGCTAAGCTGTGCCTGTTTATTGATGATAACAACACCCTTTATTCCATATAAATGTGGGTCGTGAACTTATTTCGAAAGCATTAGGTTGGCGGGGTCAGCTGAAATTGACCCAAAGCCGTTAACCAAACCATCCGTTTGGAAGAGAACTAGAATATTTTTTGCAAGATATTATTGTTTTTACTATAAAGCGTTCTTATTCCAATCTCGATGCTACTACATCCAGGAAGGGTGCGCTTAGATGGAAATAACAGACTTATTCGTTTAAATAAACTATCAAAATATTTATCTAATAATCAAACGATATACAATCATACAAGTGCCCGTTACTTATATTCCAAGCCAAACTGTTTCATAACCTAATAGAACAATCAAAGTATGCATCATCTAAGCCTATTTGGTTATACTTCAATCTGCACTGTACAATCTATGATGCTCACCCATTAATATTATAATAATTATTAATAATGATTTATTTATCAAACTGTATACTTTTAAAAATGTTTAAAAAAATCCAAGAAGTTGGACGAATAAATAAAATGTAGTTGTAAGGAACCTATTGGAACGTTTAGCTATAACTCATTGCGAAAATACTTTTGTGAGTTTATTTTTTAGAGCGTTGGTTTGTTTTATTTGTATAACAAACTTGTTCGTCTCACTCTTCAGAAAGTTTTGCTATTGAAAAATCAATTTCGTTAAAATTGTGACTTATATCCTTTTCTTGATCAGGTGATTCTAATAATATTCGTATAATTGGAAGTAGAATTAAATCGTGTCCACTTTAAAAGGACACTGAAACTAAAAACGATACAGCATAACACAACGCTCTGTGCCACTGACCAATTCATAATAAGTTATAGCTAAAACGACCCGAACGAATCGCATAAATAAAAACCTAGTTATTTTCTCCGCTCTACATAAAAACATTGAATCGTGGATATGTTATCTCTTATCACTTGCCTGTTATCATTTATCTCTTATCGTCCATATTTTGCCTCTCATTTCTAATCTCTTATCACTCATCACTTATCACTTATCTTTTGTCTTTAATCCCTTAACTCTTATCACGTATCTCTTATCGCTCATGTATTATTTCTTATCACTCATCTCTTATCTCTAATCTCTTATCCCTAATATTTTATCTCCGACTGGAAGTGAATGTGTAACGCTTTTCAAATCAAATAGAATTTATTCTAAATGTTAACAAACAGCCGTCAGCCGTTTCGAGCGACTAGCACGAAAGCTTCGATCGGACGGCGTTTTACTTAGGCAATTTCACTACACGCCCGTCACGCGAAATATGTTTTCCAAACAACCTTTCACCGTCGATTTCCGCTTAACTAATTCAACCCGAAACCCAGAGTACTCGTTAACGCAGCTGTCGTTTGTGTGGTCCGGACCCTGTCGTGTCTCTCTATCGTATTTCAAAAAGACGGTTGGGCCAACTGTGAGTGCAACAAACGCAAATCAAAACGAGTATTAGTAAACACAACACTCCACACGCGTAATAATAATAATATTGTTGTCGTTATTTTGAAACTCTAAACTTTCGGGAAAGACGAGCTGTAAAGGCTTACAAAGCATTACACGAAAATCAACATCTGTGCTATACATATACTATATTTTCGAGTACCAAGAACAGTTGTGTTCTACAACACAATAATAACCTAAAAATGTACAAACATCAAAGTTTAATTCCCCAATTTTGATTTTTTATTAATAAAAAAAAAAATGTTTACTAGGGATTTGCAAGAAAACTTCTTATGTTTAATACATTTATAACATCTTATGTTATCTTGTCTTGTAAACTAAAGAGTTTCCAAAAAGAACGACTATGAAATAACAATTATTTTAAGAGAAAGTACAGTGTCTTATATTTTATTCAGTTTAATTTTTATAAACCTTAAACTCTAAAATTACACTTGAGAATGTGAAATAAAGAAAAAGTTTACATCCCATCTAGGGGAAAGAGGTTTTGATATTTTTTTTTTTTGGTTTGTTAACGTATATTAATAATACTATCTCTAAAGCATAGTAGTCCATATAAATTTGGAACTAATTCGTCCATTTTTCTAATTGTATAGCACACCATAATTTTTTAGATGTTTTTGTTTGTATATTATCTTTAAGGTACGATTTGTCATCCTTAGACTTTCTATATTGGGTTTATCTGCTTAGAAGACATTGTAGATTTAGCCACCGAAAATAAAATAAAAATACTCCTTTGTAAAACCAATACCTTTTCAGCTCCAGATCGAAACTAAATAGATTGTGTTCCAAAAATAATGGTGGGGTTTCGAACGGCTGTAGGTTGTGAAGTATTGGACCTACAGCGCTCTGGTAGGGCTTGAACGAAATAGGGAGTTGTCAATTTTCGAATGACTGCCACTAGATGTACCTGACACTAGATGTTTCACGGTCGTAACTGAATAAGAGACGTCTAGTGACAGTCATTCAAAACTTGACGACTTCCTCTTTTATTCAAGCCCTACCCGAGCGCTGTAGGTCCAATACTTCATAACCTACAGCCGTTTGAAACCCCACCATTCTTTTTGGAACACCCTGTATTATATTGGTTGGACGCTAAATGAATAAAATTGTGAACCTTGAATTTAGCTATAATTAAAATAACTAAAAAAAATTGTCCTGATATAATTTTTTTCTGAAATTGGGATTATTAATATGAGATTTAATTTTTGTTTATCACAGGTAGTCGCAGTTGTATCGGTATTTTTCATATGCGTTTCCGTGTTGTCGTTTGCGCTGAAAACACATCCGGACCTGAGGGTAGCCACGCTTAGGAACGTCACAGTGCCCAAAGATCGACCACCGGCTCCGGGGAAAAACCCGCCGTTGGAATGGGTTCTCAGCAAAGACCGGACGGATCCTCACGAAGCGTTTTTCTACGTGGAGCTTGTCTGCAACGTTTGGTTTACTTTCGAACTTTTAGCTAGGTCAATTGTAAGTACATATATGTATAATATAATATTCTGCAGAGTTTGTAAAACAGTTTGACAATAGTATACATAGCAAAAATATCGTTACAAATAATGACAGGTCGTATTCAAATAATATGCTAAAAAAGTGTTTTACAGATAGAGTGAAACGGTTCCGGGTTAAACAAAAATATCCGAATTTGATCTTTGTCCAATCTTCATTCCTAATATCGTTCACGACATTTCCAACCACGTCAACTATCAATTAATTTGGCTTGTTAACGGCACTCACTTGTTTCAACTTTGTTTGACTATTTGTTTTCAACAGCCATCTCATGAATGAGCATGTCTGAATTATGGTTGTCAATATGTAAGCTAATATTTAAAAATAAATTTTGCTTATGTTTCAAAATAAATAGTTTGAATTGACAGCCCAAAAAGGACATATCCTTCCCTGCAGTCATCCCAACGATAAAATATAATCTTAATCTAAAACCATATTTTGGTTCAGCTATAAACTGTTGACATCATAAGAAATTGATGTACTTAAATTATGATAGGAGTGTCCAAAATGAAGTTTAACGGTTTATGGTAAAAATATAGGGGATCTAAACTGTAGTTTTACTACTTAACATAGAATAAAAATGATTTGCATTTTAACGTTAATGTTTAACGATGATATGGCTGGAGACTATTATTACAGCTCGTTATTTTATTTTATAGGTCACTCCGAATTTCGTGCATTTCGCCAAGTCGCCGGTGAACATCATTGATTTCGTGGCCACGTTAAGTTTCTACACCGATACAATACTGCAAAACACATTAGCCCAACATTTCGACAATACGGAAATATTGGAATTTTTTTCCATCATCAGGATATTGAGGTTGTTCAAACTGACCAGGCATTCGCCGGGACTCAAGATACTCATACACACGTTTAAAGCGTCCGCCAAGGAACTCACTCTGCTCGTGTTTTTCTTGGTCCTGGGTATTGTGGTGTTTGCCAGCTTGGTGTATTACGCCGAACGGTTACAGGTATTCTGCAATGGACTTGCATCGCGGATATGTTTTTAGCCACATTTGTGCCACTTTAGAATGTATTGAGGTCAACAAAATGTTCCAATCAAAATCATTAATATACTCTTCAAAAACAATTGACTTATAGCCATTTCCTTGCACATTCGGCTAGTCCCAAAGTCTAATCATGATTCTTTTAAGGCCACTTCTGACATTGAAAAGAAAGACATTGGTGTGGTATGGCAGCGTTGTTTGCTGAAAGATGAACTTTGGAGGAATACCATTCAAGCGCCAGTAAACTATAGGGATCTCGTTTTAGTACCTCACTCATCTGTAAAGTGTGAAGTTAAATTTAAAGCCGGGGTAGGGATATTTTTTAATGAGTTTGCAACCTTGCTGCATTCTGTCCAGAACCAACCATAACGTTTACATTGTCTGAGAAGCACCTTAGTATCAGTAAAAACATGATGAAAGGGTGAATTCGTTGATGTGGGTTTTAGGCACTCACTCCGCTGTCAATCATAGGTCACATCATGAAATTAATTTTGCCCAATTTCACATTGAAACAAGGCGTTATCTGACAATAGATCCGTATCGTAGACGACCATTTTTGGAGATTGTTCTTTGAAGTGTTGCAGGCTAAAAACTTATCCGTGTAAAAACAAAAAAACCAAATGTTTTCAAACTCACTCACCCGTTTGCATGCGTTTAGGCAAATCCGCAAAACGACTTCAAAAGCATTCCCGAGGGCTTGTGGTGGGCTATCGTGACCATGACCACAGTGGGATACGGTGATATGGCACCGAAAACTTACATGGGCATGTTCGTCGGAGCCTTGTGCGCCTTGGCCGGCGTGCTGACCATTGCACTGCCCGTTCCTGTCATCGTGTCGAACTTCTCAATGTTCTACTCGCACACGCAGGTTCGTTGGACTTAAATAAATACAGTATAACAGCTCTAAATACATACATCTTACGGCCAAGTCATTAATTCCATAAACTCTCATTTAAACGCCACATTTCTAGTCCGTCGATTCCCAAATCACGAATAATGATTTTTATCGCTTTTAATTTGAACTTGTACACTTCTAGGCTCGTTCGAAATTACCCAAAAAGAGGAGAAGGGTGCTTCCGGTCGAACAACCCCGTCCTAAACGGTGTGATGCTGTTTGCGCAGGAGTGATGGGTGCTGCTGGACTATTGCCCGGCAACAGGAGAATGGCTGTGACCACCGCTCAGGGCGCCATACTCAAAGACACATTTACACCGCCCAAGTTGGGTGAGAATTTTATTTCTTTCTTAAATCAACATATTATACAACGATGCTACCCTTGAAATTACAAAACTCTGGCAAACTCACGGAATACATTATTATGAATACCGTTTTGTATATTAATATAAATATAATAATAACAATAAAAATGTATATTTCCTTTTCTCCGAATACAAGAAGTTATGAAATTTCGGCAGAGAAAATAATAATATGTTATTGTATAGAAATATGAGTGTTCCTCGAAGACGGCTAAATTATGTAAAAAGTTATTGCTTCCATGTCGTAATAATGGATACTCTTCTTTTATTATTATTATTTTTTATAACTACAAAATAAAATCGTGGAAAATGCTATAAAAACGCTGATTTCTGTTATACGATGGTTGAATTTCATACATGTTTTTTTTATGTAATTTTTTATTTTATGAGTTTTAACGTTGCAATTCCAGTATAGATTTGTTTCAATTTTATATTAATACGATTAATTTAAGTGTTTTTTTTAAATAGACAACAGTCAACAAAAAAGTATATCGTGACTGAAAATAATAAATTAAAAATTTTTTTTTTAGTTATTTTTCTGCACAGTAAAAATATTATTGTTTATTGATCTAGAATTGTCCATAGCAGTACACAAGAGTAATGGTAATTTATAGAGCATTTTACATATCCCATCCACGGTAGTGAGCAACAATACAACAGTATTGAGTTTCAATTTGTGCGGTTCAGATTAAAATATTGTATTAATAACTATTAAAAAATATATTAATCTAAAGGGAATCATTTTTAATTTCTAATTATCTTGCTCAGTTGGTTTTACGAAATGGTCGAAATCGCAATAACAAAAAACAAATAGAGAAAAAAAATGAATACTTACCAAACATTAAATCCGTTATTAATATTGTAAAGTAGATGGTAATAAATAACTGGAATGTTTTTCATTTTCAAATGGATATTATTAAGAAGAAAGTATTTTCATATTATTAAAACAATATGTTTTCTTCCATAAAACACACATTTTTTTTATTCAAAGCATTCACTTTTACAGGGACGTTTAATTGTTAAAGAAGATGATTTTGAACATCAAAACGAACCGTTAATATTATATTTCCTAAATTTGTATTTCGTTGTTAATTATAGTTAGATCAGGTCTAACAAATATGAAATTTTAAACGGTTTTATTGCAACATTATGTGCACTTAAATTGGATTCCAACAACAAATTGGAAAGTGTCCCTCTTATTCACTACTGTGACAACATGGGCAAACGATCATAAAGCAATTCCATCTGTCTGACAAACTACCCTACTCGCACAAATTAAGTTAAATCATATTAGTTAATAATTTTGAATATGACTGAAATAATGTGAAAATTAAAAATTATTTATGTATATCCAACATATGTGTGGATTGTATCGTGGGTAGATAGTAGATACAGCATAGGGTTATGTGTTATCAATGATTTTCTCCACCACTGACCAAGCTCTCTAGTTAATAGCTAATTTATTTATTTTATAATATTTATTGTAGATGATAATATCTGGAAAAAATGGCCGTGTGCCCGAAAAAAAAAATACTAAAAAGTATCTAAATAAACAGAATTTGGGATTGGTAATGAACTATTTACTTGAAGATTTCAAGGAGAACTTAGAATATGACTTAAATTGTGTGAAAATGAACAATTATTAATTTATAACATATGTTTTGATTGTAACGTGGGTAGATGATATAATGACTAACAAAATATATTGAACAAAATGGTTTCATTAGTGATTAAAACGTGATGCGCGATTGAGTTGGATTCGAACAACAATTAGCAGAGTGTCCCTCAAATTCGCTACTGTGACAACATAAGCAATTCCATCTGCCTGGCAAACTCGATAATAAAATTTCACATTTTCGGTACGCGTTACCAGTACCATATTAAAATGTTTGTTTTATAATTATACACTCAACAACATTGACCCTAAATTTCACGAATTAATCCAGTTAATGTAAAACCTTAAAAGGAAAATACCGCCAGGCTTGTATTGGGTAGGTATTGCCAAAGGAAGAATAGGGTTTCCGCATTACAGACCGTGCCAAGACCATGTCGGATTACGTGCACAGGCCTTTGCCAACAGAGAATCATTTCACATGAGCGCCGTTAACTCGTCAAATGTATTTGCCTAAACTAAACTTGTCAACGTGCTAGAAATTATAGGGTTCGTGTTTTATTCAAGTTGCACAAGTCATTTGTACAGCAACAAACCGAACGGTCAAAATAAACCCTAAACGCTCATGACTTTAAAAAAAAAACAAGTCACCGATTTATATGTAATATACCAGAGATAATAAAACTTATACTCAACATGGCGATCTCAGAATGACACATTTTTAACTTTATAAAATCTCTCAAAGTAACTAAAACCGCTTTCAGATTTTTTTTGGGAGTTCTCTTTGAAATCTTCAAGTAAATAGTTTATTATCAATCCCGGTTTCTGTTTGTTTAGATTTTATCTTTTAATATTTTTTTTTGGGGGGGGAACGCGGCCATTTTTTTCAGATATTATCATCTACAATAAATATTATTAAAAAAATAAATTAACTCTTAACTAGAGTAATTTAATTTGAGCAAGTAGGGTAGTTTGCCAGACAGATGGAATCGCTTAATGATCGATTGCCCATGTTGTCACAGCAGTGAATAAGAGGGACACTCTCCAATTTGTTGTTGGAATCCAATTCAAGTGTGCATCATGTAGAAATGAAACCGTTTGAAATGTCATATTTGTTAGACCGGATCTAACTATAATTGACAACGAAATACATATTTAGAAAATATAATATTAACGGTTCGGTTTGATGTTTAAAAAATATCTTCCTTAACAGTTAAATTCCTTGTAAAAGTGAGTGCTTTGAATAAAAAAAGTTTGTGTTTTATGGAATAAAAACATACAACTATAATAATATGTAAATACTTTTTTCTTAATAATATACGTTTGGAAAGGAAAAACATTTCATTTATTTATTACCATCTACTTCACAATATTAATAACGGATTTAATGTTCGGTAAATATTCGTTTTATTCTCTCTATTTGTTTTTTGTTAGTGCGATTTCGACCGTTTCGTAAAACCAACTGAGCAAGATGATTAGAAATTAAAAATGATTCCCTTTAGATAAATATTTTTTTTAATAGTTATTAATAGAATATTTTAATCTCAATCGCACAAATCGAAACTCAATACTGTTATATTGTCACTTTAGTTTTATTTTAGTAATTTTCACACAACAAACATCGCTTGTGGAACTCTATCCGTAGTAAGACTAAAAAAAAAACAAAGCCGGCGTGGCTGCGACATGTACCAAACGACTTGAATGTGTTTATGCAAGACGTGTAGTAGCTTGAGTGTTGCCATTACAACGTATTTTCGCTCAGTGAACCGCGAAAAGAGGATAAGTATGTTTATTTATCGGGTTCCCTTATCGTGTGCAACATAATTATCTCCAAGAGACTTGACGTTATGTATTTGCTGATGGGAGCTCAACGTGACAAGCCTCCGCATTAGTCTCCTAGCGAGGGGCCAAGATCAATTCGAAATCAATAAAACACCCTTTTCTATTTTGTTTGTACTTGTATTGGTAATAACTTAAAGTGGCCAATGGACGGATGATAAAATTAACCTAAGGAGCATCTAATTCTTAACAGTTTTATAGAAGATGTACGGTCATCTTTGAACAAAAGAAAACTTTTGCCATTGTAAGTGGGCGTGACCGAAGATAGCCCGACCGAAACTACCGAGTATCAACTGAAAATTTAATTATTTAACTTGTAACTTATTAGATTGTAATTCATTTCCGTCGACTCGACTAATGTAGACGGTGGTTGAAACCGTTAACTCGCCTGGTCACGTGAAATACTGTAAATTACAAGTTTCAGTCAAGGTTTTCATTGTAGCGGAGCAATAGTTCTTTCAGAAAGTTCTCACCGAATAAATCCGTATAATGTTAATGCGTTTAAATGGTTGTGCAATTTCTTTTCTTAATCGTTTTAATTGCTTACCGAAAAGGTTTTAAGCCGTTTTGGTACGCGATGATAGCGTAATAATAATTTATAGTCGGTTGGTTGAATAATAAACATAAAATGTCTGAATAGCAAATACACGCAACAGAGCGTTAATAATTATTATTTAAAACCTTTTTGACTGAAACTCTACTGTAATATTCTTTTACATTGTATTACTGACGTCAAGCAAACCAAATACCAGTAGATTGTTTTTGTTCAACAAAATTAATTTTATGTCTTAACAGGAAAACATTTCGCCAAAACATCCGAAACGCTAATGTTCATAACAGGAAGTTGTTCTGAAATATACACTTAGTAGTACCTTCTAATGGTATCCCAAGTTATCTACTCAGATAACCTGGGAATAAATTTCAGCGCTGACATCTGCATAACGCCTCAATGTAATAATAATCTTATTTCATTTTTTATTGTGTCGATTAATCGCTCTGTTTTACTCTTATTATACCGAATAAATAAATAAAAATAATATACCCGACGTTTTAATAAATTTAGTCGATCGATTTTATTTGTCTTAATCTTACCTTATAAGCGCTTACAAAACTAATTGTTCTGTACATAATTAATAATAATTGTACATAATATTATGTATGCGACGGTTAGGTAAACCCTCGATAAGCTTCAGGATATTGATTAATCCCTTAAACCTTAGGCTTTAAGATGATGCAATGTATACGACTCGAGAGGATTGTTTGACCGATTCGTATTTAATGTTATTATTTTACACTAATACAAAATGTGTACAAAACAAACATAAATATATTTTTAATTTCATATTGACTTAATAAAATATTATAACAGTACTCTGTAATGCCATGTAGATGTACCTACAAATATCAACGAGGAGATAACCAAAAGGTGTTAAATAATTACACTATTATCAAATGTATCCAACTAACATCTATCATAATGCTACACGAATACGGTTAAAAACTCAAGTAACTACTTATTATGAAATTACTATAATTTGTACAAAATATAAAATGCAGGTATCGTATATCGGTGTGTGTGTTCCGTTAAATTTTAAAACAGAAAATTGCGTACAAAACTATTCAGTAAGTTTGGTAGCGTTAAAAAAATATGCGAATTTCAATTTTCAACTAACAAATAATGATGTTTGTTTGTACAGACATTTTCTTCAATATTTACATGCGCACATAAAATGAATCATGTCAACAAACGTGTTATGAACATAACATATTTTTTTTCATTAAATTTCAACTGTCATTTTCTCTCTGCTTGACAAACAAGAGCTTGAGAAATCGGACAGATTCGCCGATAAAATGGTAGTACCACGTGTCCTTATTTCGGTTGTTGTTGTGGAGAGACAAACAACTGTTTTATTTCTAAATCCAATATCATTTCTAATAACACATTAAAGTAATACAATAATCAACTACTCGATACACGTTAAAAATACTGTGGTTTTATACGTCTTAAAGTCAGATCAATTTTGGAATATTTAAAATTCAAATGTTTCGCATTGTATCAACATCAATTTTTTATGCTGACAAACGGTAATCTTGTAGAATAGCCACAAAGAGATTTTACATATTTTATTGATACCAAAATCGTGTTTTCACATAAAGTCCAAGTACTCTACCGGTTTTACCGTTTCATCGGCGCAGATTAGATTCGTTTTGAAATTAAAATAGAATTAATTAATATTATTATCGCCGGGCCTGTTACTGTGTATAGTAAAGCAGCAGTTGTGGAGTATTGCTTTAGGGCATTTCCCAGAGAGATTGCTGTTAAAAGCAATGTGTATTTTATTTTCCCACTATTTTCCGGGGGTGACGACGATGAGCTCGACCGGAGATTTTGCGACCTTATTTTTATTTTTATTAAACGACCCTTTTCACTATTCATGCGTCTAAGCGACCGTCCGGACAAAATCACACTCGAGATAACCACTCGGAGAACTCTCAAAAAAAAAAAAAAAATTATAAAAAAGCCACGATGTATGTTTCAACATATTATATACGTATAAATATTTTTCATTTCTTCATTTCAATAGCAACTTTGTGTTGGTTTTGCTTCGTTTCGTTTTGCGTGGCTATTATTAAAAACTGAGCCCCATAATACAGCCCCGACACAGTGCAGTTTAAAACGAGTCCGGTATAAATCGTTAAAGCTCGGTAAAGTGTTGAATTTAATCTATTCGTCACCTTCAAACGATTCGACGCGAATATGCGAATAGTTTTTTCCATGTTAATTCGATAAAAATGTCGAAATCTCGAAGGTACCGACTAGTGGCGTTCCAAGCGGACAACATTTACATACATTTTGATTACAACTACAGTTACAAAATAATGCCGCATTACGATTGGTTGTTACCTTGATCCACGGATAGGAGCGCTAGTAGTTAATCGAAACAGATGTTTTCAATAATACCGACAATACCACAGGTGAGTTCAGTATCCGCAGATTCGCATAAGAGACAACAATTTTGCTTGTCGTTAGCAGTTTTATACATTTAACGACTGTTAAAAATAAATATATACCTATCGATTTTCGTTGTTACGTGCTCGGCTTAGGCATATTATTTTGTTGGGCTCAAAAACGGTGTACTCTATAATGGACGTTGTTATTATAATGAGTTCGCCGAAGGTCTTCCAATTTTACTTCCACAAATATAAATTGTGTATCCGTTTTATCTCCTTAATGGAGGATTATTTTTTCCTAAACGATAGGTCCACTAGTGTATTGTTGTATTCTGGACCTTGGCAGAAAATAACTTAATATACCCAATTTATTTAAAATATCTAAGAACATTGAGAAATTCACTACAGTATAGTCTGTTGGTGCTAAGATACTGGTCAGGTTACTGTTAAAATGGAAAAAATCCTCGTTTGTAATAATACCTTAAACATTTTGATTGAAAAAACAATTCATCCAAACAGACTTAGCCGAGAACAGAGTCTGACTGATAAAAAACCAATGGACATCATTCTGTTGAACTTTTATTAGATGTTTGTTTTTTTCTTCAAATTGTATTGTACTATTTTTCAGGAGTCCAGAATGAATTAAATTAAACGTCTCGTATAGACAATTTACCGAGTATTATATTATGAAGTGAACGAAAAGGCGAGCCGCAGTGTGACCAGAAAAACGAAACTACATTTTTCTAGAACCTGAATGTGATACAAAACATAACATGACTCAACAATATTAATATTATCACATTATCATAATATCATTGTAAATTTAAACTTATCTATTGATCTATTATAATACTGTGCATACGAAATTATTTATTATTATTAAAAGTGATCACACTGTCGTTGGGCTCCTTGATTACTTCGTTGCAGGGTACAGAGCGTTTATACTAAGTTATATATTTTTACTATGTTAGTCATAACCATATTATCGAATTTACATAATATATTGTTGTACTATATTACTTTGTCGAGTGTTGTATATGTTTTATCAACGGTTTTTTAATTTAACAGGTAATATGAACGGTATGAACGTACTGAGTCTAGCATTTCAAGCGCCTCAAATTCCGGGCATACCTTCGCCGTCGTTTTTGCCGTACAATTCACCGCCGAAATCCTCTTCGGGCAAGTATTTACTATTTGTAATAAACTCGAGTCGCACAATGAATAATGTATTGGGTTTTAATCGAATTTCCAAAATAACACAACAATATATTCGTACACAAAGTTCAACGGGAGGAGATAAATGAATTTCTATAATTTCTAATATCTCAATTACTTCAATTACAGTATTATGTTTAATTATCTTTGATTTTCCACATCAGGTTCACAAGATACGTTTTCTGGAAGCGTGTTGAACGGTCGAGGTGGAACAGTGGCCCCAGCACCGCTTCAGCCACGAGCAGCTACCATCGAGTCGGTTTTCCTCCCATTACAGGTAAAAAAAAAACCGAGTCAAGTAAAAAGTAGTTGGAAACCACATTCACAAATTCATTCTATCGCCTATCGTTTATACTAATAATAAACTACTGCTTTCCAGACAAAGTCAACGTTATGGTTGGTCTTGGTTGTCAACTCTTTAAAAATATATTTCCCAAATCATTCCTACCCCGTCTGAGCTCAAAACTTGACAGAAGAGTGAGGTATCAATGTTGGGAGACACCAAAGTGTGATCCTCGTAGCTTACTGAGGATTAAATGACATTTCTCCGAAAATCATCATTTAGCATACAACACTATATTCCAATGTCGCTTTTTCAAGTGACTTATCTTTATGCCAAAATCATTGTAAGATCAACCATAGACATTGACACAAGTATAGAGGAAATGGCTATAAACAAATCAACCGAAAAAAGGTTAATGTATGCTTGTGAATAACGGAATATATTTTTAAGGTAACAATACCTTGTGATAATATTTCACTCGTGTTTGGCATTTTCAACACATTTGACTTGAATGCAAAATAGTTATCTACAGCTCCCATCTTAACAGTGTATATTATTTTAATTCGAGCTTCGACCGACAAAAAAATACAATGTCAGTGTATTATCATTTGATATAATCGCACAAGTACAATGTGTACTGCATAGCTACAGATATACCAGCTACAGTGTTTGCAATATAATTAACGCGTTAATATTTTGTCAGGAGCAATCTGATCGTGTACAAAATGATGGCATGACGTGGCATTTAATATTATAAATTACACATGTGACTATTTTCGCGGTTTGCGTCGCACGAATCACTCTGTAGAAATATGGGCGTACGACTTTTAGGCATATAATAACGTTTGAAAACTATTTTCAGTCAGTTGGGCGTGTAGAACAGATCAAACGGAGAGAGGTTTTTTTTTCTTAGAAAATTATACGTGAAAATCTTAAAAAAAAAAAAAAATACTCATTTTCTTGGCAGTATTTTACAACGAGGCGTATAATGAATAACGTTAATTGGTAATGGTTTTTTTTTTTTTCACAGCCAAGTCTATTAGTGTCTCTGGGCGAAGACTCCAAACCTCACGACATCGTCATGCAGAGGACTTCGTCGCTGCCCAACTCGTCCGGGATCGACTCGGTCAACCCTTCGTCTTCATAAACGTTTTGCTCACACGATAATGTCTCGTGCATGTACTTTACTATAACAATAATATTGAACGGGTCATTTCAAAAACGACACAAGTCGCTTTCGCTAATTCTTAAATGCATGCTTAAGATACGGCCAGCTACTTCTTGTCCTTTGTGGTGTAGGAACGACCAATATGAAGACCATCCCGACAAGCATAAGTCTCTCCACTCCTAGCTGTTGGTCGCAGACGTTGTCCTATCAACTCCAAACTTAAGTTTTTCACATTCTTAGTTTTTAACTTTATCTCGCCATCCCAATGCAAAGGTCTCTGTTCTTAGGAAATACCTTCCTGCGCGTGGATAATATTGAGAATCAGGTACATCACACTTGCGCCATACATGTCCAGCCTGTTTCATTCTAGTCTTCGTTATTTCTTCTACAATGCCCGGTCTTTGGTGTAGGTAAGCAGACTACCATATGCTTGACTGCAATGATTTTTGGTAAATAAAAAATACAAAGAGTAAAAAAAAAATTGAAAAAAATTGAAAAAACAAACACCGAAATGTAATTGCTATTATTGCACAACCTCGTGAATTGTTTTTCTTAAGCACAAGTGCAGACCCTGCAGAACTGCAAAAAGTCGTTTTTGTAAAAACAATCACTCGTGTCGATTTTGAAATGACCTATTCAATTATTATTGCACCAAAATAAAAAAATGTCGGCACCGTTTGTTGTACACTTAACGCTATCTACCTGTTACTGTTTGCCGCTGAAAAGGTCGACCCGATCAAGTTAGATGGCGACGCGCATTGGTTTCAAATCAAAAATAACTGGGCAAAACCCCAGTTCTAATTTCTATTATTTTAAATGAGAACAAAAATTTGGCAGATAATTTTTGATTTTGAACTACTGTGCGACGTCGCACGACCAAAGTCCCATCACACTCTAGATAAAACCACTATTATAATAATAGAGTTCATCAAGGCAGACCTTTGTTGTTGGCACACTTAACTATTGCAAAACAATACAGGCACGGATTTCAATGACCTTATATCTAATGTTTCAATAAAAAAATCAACACATTCAAAAACGTCCACTTCAGATTTGCTTAAAGGCCACATCTTTGTTTTGAACCATACATCTATAATATACTATACTGTTTTACTAGTACCATAATATTGTTCTTGTTAAATATACACTTTGAGAAGATAAACACCTTAAATGTTCTAAATAAAAAAAAAAATATACATGTATATCTTATAAAATACTATATTCAGTTGCTATTTTGTGTTTTTGTAAATCATAAAGTTATCATGTACATGGACATAAGATCCGGTTAAAGTGGATAAAGCGGACAAGAACAATAAGAGTACCTGCTTACAATGATGTAGTGGTCCACGTATAGCTGTTGTATAGTTAATTATTTATCTACATCGTTTGATTCACACTATTATTGACTTTGAATGTTCTGTGATATTTTTTCCAAGTATAAAATTATTATTGTTATAAACAGTTTTTTAAGCATCCTATATTTTAAAAATGTTCTTTTTTAATAATATATTATAATTATTTAGTTGAAAAATGTAGTATTTTAACGTTTTAATATCTTTCATTATTATTGTACTATTAAATCGTAAGTGTATATTGTTAAAATTAATCAAAAAAAAAAAATCTAAATTTCGCATTTATTTTTGAGAATTTAACGGGAAGTCATTTAAAACTATACTATATAATTTTAGTTATAAACGGTTTATCGTTCTTACCTGTAAAGTTGTTACGTTTCATTGCATTTGCAACGTTGTTCCCCTTTAAATTGTCAATTTTGTCAATTTTACAAGTATAAAAAAATGTAATGATTCAAGTTATTTTTTCGCTATATAAATTTGTTCGTGCCTAAAGCACAAAATAATTATTGTACACGTGATGTATTAGTTTTAGTTTCATCGTTGTACAATACTTTGTATTTCTTTGTTATAGTTGAAATGTTGTAAATAAATATAATGTGATGAAAATTATTTTACCGAATCGTTGTGTATAAAAAACAATTTGACATTTTTTTTGTGTGTCAAATTATTATGGTTTTTTTAAATTATGACGCTCCCCTCAATAAGCAGAGATCATGTGCTTGGTGTTGTTTTGTCAACTATATTGTTGACTTGGTTATTTATTACAACGAACTTCAATATAAAGCTAAACCCGGTGATTTGTGCCAAGATTTATTTAGTTCAAACAAAAATACTTGTGCGTTAGACTTTTCGAAGAAAACCTACTTGTGTCAATGTTAACACCTAAAATTAAATGCATTGTTTTTGTTTTAATGTAGAAAATAATATGAAGTGATAATAATACGAGCGGGTCGACTTAAAACAACTTCAAAAACCATAAAAAAGAAATATATATAACTGTAAATCCAAGTATATAAGTACATGTCCAAGTAAAATAAAGTTGAAAAGAAAATTCGATAAAATATACTTAATTTATATTTTTTATAATGCACTTGTTAACTCAAAGAGTGGCGTATTAAATAAATCAATATTGCACACAGAGTTACCAGCCAACATAGGTTTATTTGCAGGAGAGTGCATATTGTATGTATTAGAAGAAATGAAGGTGTAAAATAGGGATTTATTTCTAGAATTAAAAGAATTGATTTTGAAATTTAAACTTTCAACAAGTTCAGGACAATCAATTTGATTAATAAGTAATATATATAAAAAAATGTAAGTTAAGCAATCGAAATCTTTTATTTAATGACATAATCTTAAACGAATTGCTTACATCGTCATATCCTGAATGAGGGTGTCTTTGAAGACCACAATAATTATAGCATAAATATCTTAAAAAACTGTTTTGAACAGAATTTAAACATTGATATTGTGAAATATTATCCGAATGCCAAATCAAACGAACATATTCAAATTATATATCAATTATAATTATATCAAAGGATATAATATAAGAATTTAAGTATCTATAAGAATATATTATATGTATGAATAGTCATAGGGATTATGAGTAATAATGACGATCATTGTAAATACTAATCACGTTACATTGTTGTTTTAGTTCAACAGGTACAAAATACCATAAGCAAGTTATTCTAAGATGCACATGCAGATAAAAAAAAAAAAAAAATTTAATAATTCCGTCAACAATATTATGTTTATTTTAATATTTTCGCTAGCCACACATAATAACTTCAAAGCGCTGCTGAAAAGGTATCGTTATTGCAATGATGTGTTTTGATACTTAATTCAAATAGATAATACAGTGAAATAACATAAATTAAAATGTCTTCAAAATGTTTTTTTTTTTTATTACATCCGCCATGTTGGCTTGACAATTCTCTTATTAGACATTAAGACATTTGTTCGTTTGTGAACGTTGACAGCGGTATTTTAGAGGGATAGAGTTTCGGTTTGAACACACTTTGATGTCAAATTGAACAATAACAACATCACATAATGAGCTCTTTATCCGTTATCGTTATCTCGCTTACAACGACAAAACAATACTCCTTTTCATTTTCAGCGTAGATGAAGTGGGATCTTTATTGGGTTTCGTTTTGGCATCAACTCCTGTTAGTATATGACTAATAATGATTGTCTCCAGACAGACTAACAGCAATACAAATAAAATGTCACAGAGTTCTGTTCATATCCGAAATGAAGCTCACACGATCAAGTTTCATTGATTAATGAAAAGTCTGACCCTAGTAGTGTTATACAGTGTAATTGTAAAAGTTCAAAAGTCAATGTAATTAATATGTTTTATAATATTTTACATTATTATAAAATTACCAATTATCATACCTCTTTTAGTATTCTCCAGAGGTCTATCAACTTTTGAAACTTATACAAAACGTATGATTTTAATTAAACTTTGAAATTAAGAATCATTTTATGAAAGTTTTGACTGGTCGACAACAAGTTTTGGATTATATTACATTTAAAATGATTAAAATTTATTCATTAGACTGGGGTAAGAGTGGAGTGTAGTATTATTGTTATATGCATGCATCGTGTATGAATATAATACATACTTACTATAGGACTCACTTTTTATTGTACTCTATATTAGTTTTGAGTAAATTATATTTCTAATTTATTGTTTTTAGTTACTTCATCAATACTTTCATACATATTTTGCTAACTTTTGTGGTCGAAACTGTTTTTTTTTAATAATTGGTTGTATAGATTTAATATTTCAATACTAAACGGGTAAATTTGAAACAATTTATCTACATCTATATAATTCGTTTAAACTTTTTTATCTAGGTTTTTAACATTGTTTTATCTATTGAAGTAATCTAGATAAATAACTAAACGATATAAAATGAATAAATGTTAGTTAGTTATATTTTATCTTTCTTTAGATAAAGCCAATATGCTATCTGAGTTTAATCCCGAATAATCTATAATACTATTAGGATATATCACAGACATTACAATTATTTTAAGACATACAACCATATGTAAGCGAACAGGTACAGTTAAATTATTCTCAGACATTTTTTCGTTAAATACTTTGAGTTGTTGAGATTTTATTTATTTGAGTTTTATTTTTTATTTGTTAATCAAGAATAATCATTTCTATAAACATAATACCTTTCATATTGTATTGTATAAAATAATACATTGCAGCCAATAAGATTAAACCTAACACAGTAGTCGTCAGCTTAAGCGTTATACTAGACAGATATATAAATATGGTACAATTCTCATATTTCCATAAAACTGTTTTGAGGAAAAACATTCATACATGCAATAACTATTTCGTACAAAAATAGAAAAAGTAAGCGTGACTGCGAATGTTGTAGTATTTTTCATAGCAATATCAGAGAGGGATATTACAATATTATAATACAACAACAAAATACTGTAAAGAAATGAAAATACAAACGAATTTAAACTTCACGAACGGTTTTCGACTCGTGAATTATACTCTGTTATTTTTATGTGAAACGCCAAAGCAAATGCACTGCTCACAAGTTTTAAGAGGAAATTAGTGTCTCGCGTTAAACGGATCACCCTGTATTGTGGTCAACATCCGGACACATTCCGACGGGCCACTTGCCCAAATACCATGCGGTCATGTAACAACAACACAGATCGGTTTAATATGTGTGTTGCTGCCATGAAGGTTTGTCGATAAATACTTCACAGGCCGACAAATAAAATGAAACCTACGAGCAAAACATAATATATAAAAGTATTGCTTTTACGGTGTTATTTATTTACAGGCTAAAAAAAAAAGGTAGGCTTCTTTTTTTTTGGTCTTTGAACTGATTTATTTATACGCTACCTCTATCAGCGGGGTTAGGGGAATACTATAAATATTTTAGATGTAGTTCTTTTGAGGGTAAAATAACTTAACCTTCCGAGATTAAACCCCGAGGTCCAACTATGGCAATTACATAGTCGAACATTATTCGATTGACAAATGATAATTGTTCGAATAAAAAAATAACATAATACCTATCTCTGTTTCAATTCACGTGTTATTTGATTTGTTTTGATTGTTTAAACAGGGTGATCCATTTCACGTAAGACACCAATTTTCTCTGCAACAATTTCAATTTTGTCTCTGGAACCTAGAAATATTGACATCCATTGTTTCACTTTAAAAAAAAGTCAATTTTTTTTGGTTTATGACTAAGCATAGGGTTCGCCTTAGACAAGGCTCTTAAAGGACCTTCAAAGAAAAGACACTTGCAGATAAAAAAATATATCAGCAAGAAATGAAATAAGCCAAATGCAGTCAATGTTACCTTTGTGCCGGCGTTCCAGCAACGTTGCCAACTCTGGAAAACGAAATTCTAAGTAACCTAACCGTCTCGATTGGAAGGGGACGGTTTAAGTGTACCTTAGCTAATAAAACACTCGGCGCAAATTTTGGAACTAATTCGATTGTTTTTCTAAAAAAAATTGTATGTATTTTTTTCTTTTTTTCATAGCCTTTATTGGAAATATTAAAAACGTAGGCGTGCATTTTAGAACACAGTTTTCGTCCATGATTATTATTATTATTATCTTTTCGACAATTATCCGGAGATCGTCGCCGAAGAATACGCTAGCAAATCGTACGGACCGACCGGAGGTTACCGGTACCGCGGTACCGGTTACCACGGTTACGCGCGTCGTTGGCTGCGGCTGTCGGTGCTTTTGGCCCGAAAGCCGAGCGCAAGTCCCAACAAGAGCGCAGTGCCGTTACAGCCGCCGTCGAATGCGGTACTATAACATCAACGTTATTGTTATACACTCGTGTGTTGTGTTGTGTGTGCTTGGTGTAGTTTACCAGCCAAAAGCGCGTCCGTGTTTGGGTTTTTTTTGGTTTCGGTGGTGTCTTTTTTTTTTTTTTGGGTTTTTTTTTAATACTTATTTAATTACCGCAAAACCGACTTTTCGCCTCTTCGTGTCGTGCCGTACACAATAATAATAATATTTGCCGTTGTCGTTATAGATTTACATATTTTATCTCCTTCGAAAATATAATATAATTTAATTTATTTCCCGGCATTTCCGTTTTGCCGCCCGGCGGCGGTCATCGTACTTCCGGTCGTCGTTGTGGATATTATATTGAAATTTTGGCAAATTCCCACGGTCAAAGGCGGCCAAGCCGAGACGGCATGGCGACGATGCGTAAACCCAAAGTACGTTGGAATATTATATTATTATTAAGAATATAATATTATTATAATATTTTTTTTTTTTTACTTTCTTCCTACGCTAAAACCGAGCCGTACTTTGTCTAGTCCATGTCTGGGGGTGAGGGAGGGGGAAGAGGGTGTACTTCAATAGTTAGGAAATTTCCATTTTCATCGGTTGTACGTAAAAGGAGTATAATATGGACTATGTTTTAAATGCCATAATAGTATGTAGACAAAAAAATAAAAAATTATTGTTGAGGTTTGAATTTTTAATTTTCATCGATCTCTTCTGCGGCATTGTAAAGATTTGAATCCAAGATCAATAAAATTGCAACTCTGTGGCTTTTTTTTTTTTTAAGAAAACGTTTGCTTATTGTGATAAGTATTTGTGCTTTTTCAGTAATTCCCGAAGCTCCAACAACTTCTGAAACTTAAATAGAAACGTCCTTTGTATGTAGGTTATTGTAACTTATTAAATTGTCAATCATTTTCGGACAATTTTTAACTGGTCAATGGTCGATTTTGGACACTCACTTTTTGGAGTTATTAAAGTTTAAAAATTCCAGGACAGAAGATGGGTATCCACCGTTTTGTTACCGTCCTAGATCTTATACTCTAATCGCTACAAAAGTGACTATCCAAAACTAGTTACATCGATCATTCGAAATTCCAACAAGTTGTTCTTGGTTTTTTAACTCTTAACCCTTTTATAGCCTCATGTGACAGTTCTGTGACGAGCCGGGAAATTCACGTTAGACGTCGCACTAAGTAAATTTTTGTACTACATTAAACCAATCCACCCTTAAACCAATCCCTTTTCACAATTATTGTTTTGAATTTATACCGTCTTGGGCTGTAAAGGGTTAAGTCGTAAGGGTTGTATCACATAGGGGATGTGGATGGAATATCGTTGAAACATATACCGAATTTGAGCCAACTTGGAACTGCGTATACAAGTTCTTGTGTGCAATAGTTATTTTTTTTTATTTTTTTTTATATTTTATTTTTTATCTACTCAAGAACAACGGTAGCATTACACACCGGTCTGAGGGCGTCAGCACGGTTAAAAAAAAATTTTAAAAAAACCCGTGTCCGGCCAATAGCCCGCGTGCACTATAAAATAAAACGCGCTCGCATTATAAGTCTATAATATATTATTAAAACGACCGGGTTCGCCATTTCGAAGGGTCACGTGCACTATCTGAAAATGGAATTTCTAATCTTTATTCCCTGTTCGCCCCGTTACAACACTATGCATTATAATAATATCGCCGGTTTTGGCGGCCGAAAACGCACGGATTAACCCGCCGTACGCACACTATGTTATTAAGTTTAGGTACTTCCATAAAAAAAAAAAACCAATTCAGTGGGGTCGGGGCATAGTGGTGACGGGGAGGTCACAGGTTTACAGGAATTTTTAAATATGAAAGTGATAAAATCACTTTCGAAAAAACGCTTCGATGCAAATCGGTAGTTAGTATTTTCAAGCCAGTACAGTCCAAACCAAGCACAGTATAAACCAGCAAAGTTAGAAAGTTTTAAATGAAGGTTCTGTATTTACAAATGAGCATCAAAGCGTTAATTTGAAAGTGATTTTATCCGAAAGGACTAGTACAGTAGAGTATTGGCATAATGTAATCAAAGCAATGAGGAAACGGAGAGGTCACAGGTCTACAAGAATTATTATAAATAAAAGTGATAAAATTGAATAAAATAGCTTTCAAATAAACGCTTTGATGCTCATTTGTAAATACAGAACCTTCATTTAAAACTTTCTAACTTTGCTGGTTTATACTGTGCTTGGTTTGGACTGTACTGGCTTGAAAATACTAACTACCGATTTGCATCGAAGCGTTTTTTCGAAAGTGATTTTATCACTTTCAGATTTAAAAATTCCTGTAAACCTGTGACCTCCCCGTCACCACTATGCCCCGACCCAACTATGCTCCGTCCCCACTATGCACCGAGAAGTTACATTGTATACAGATAAAAAAAAAACACACATCAGAGTAAAACCAATACCTTCTCGCTTTGCATCGAAGCTTAAAACATAATAATAATATATCGAGTCAATTTTATATTTACCGCCGGTTGCGCACCACCTATAGTTCAATTATTTAACCAAGTACATTAACCGAACGCACTATAAAGAAAAACGCCTCAGAAGCGGGCAATTGATGAATAACACAAAAAAATATCATTGCATGGACATAAAACAACTCGGCTAATCGACCGGCCTAAAATAATATTGGCACTTATTAATCATCATCGAGGGGTTTAACGTGGACCTTGAAGTCCCACACGTTCACATTATTATTGTTCAAATACAAGATAGACGGGCAAATAACAAAAAAATTGTTTCCTATAAAAAAACTATTAGTCTCTTGTATACGACTCGAGTAATAAAATATTGGCAATAACGTTTTGCGAATAATTTGTTTTGTCGCAAAGCAAACGTTTATGAATATGCCATTATTTCCAAAAACTTGTTTTTCTTTGTCAAAGTAAATTGAGTATTTTTTTTTTTCGCTATGCAGTGCATTTACTTTGACGTTTTACATAAAAAGAACAAAGCCAAAAATCGTTTATGAAGTTTAAATTCATTTTATTTTTCATTTCTTTAGTGTATTTTGTTGTTGTATTATAATATTGTAATATTCCTCTCTGATATTGCTATGAAAAATACTACAACATTCGCAGTCACGCTTACTTTTTCTATTTTTGTACGAAATAGTTGTTGCATGTATGAATGTTTTTCCTCAAAACTCTTTTATGGAAATATGAGAATTGTACCATATTTATATATCTGTCTTGTATAATACTTAAACTGGCGACTACTGTGTTAGGTTTAATCTTATAAGCTGTAATGTATCATTTTATACAATATAATATGAAAGGTATTATGTTTATAGAAATGATTATTCTTGATTAACAAATAAATAAAATCTCAACAACTCAAAGTATTTAACAAAAAATGTCTGAGAATTATTTAACTGTACCTGTTCGCTTACATATTGTTGTAAGTCTTAAAATAATTGTAATGTCTATGATAGATCATAATAGTATTATAGATTATTCGGGATTAAACTCAGATAGCATATTGGCTTTATCTAGAGGAGGATAAAATATAATTAACTTTAATTTATTAATTTTATATCGTTTAGTTATTTATCTAGATTACTTCAATAGATAAAACAATATTAAAAACCTAGATAAAAGAGTTTAAACGAATCAACTAGATAATGTAGATAATTTTTTTCCAATTTACCCATTTAGTATTGAAATATTAAATCTGTACAACCAATTATTAAAAAAAAAAAACAGTTTCGACAACAAAAGTTAGCAACATATGTATAAAAGTATTGATGACGTAACTAAAAACAAGTAAACTAGTAATACAATTTACTCAAAACTAATATAGAATACAATAAAAAGTGAGTCCTATAGTAAGTATGTATTATGTTCATACACGCATCGTGTATATAAAAATAATATTACACTTCACTCTTCCTACAGCTTAGACATTAAATTTTAATCATTTTAAAAGTAATATTATCTAACAATTGTTATCGACCACTCAAAACTTTCAGCAAATTATTCTTAATTTTAAAATTTAACTAAATGTATACGTTACTATTTATAAGTTTTAAAAGTTGATAGACCTCTGGAGAATACTAAAAGAGGTATGATATTTAGTAGTTTCATAACACTGTAAGACATTATAAAACATAATAACGAAAAATGTTCTCTACAAAACTGCAATTATTTTATGAAAAGACAAACGTCTTATTCTCGATGAAATACTCACTTTATATTTTATAAAATAAAAAAAAAGATACACAAACAAAGTAATAATCGTTACAAAACAAACGCATTTTTATAGTTTTTTTATCTTTTTATTTTAATATACAAAAAAAAAAATTCTTCTTTCGATCGACAAAACATAACGTTTTATGTTGAAATAAATTAAATCATATTGTTTTGTATTGCAAACGTATTTTTTTCGTCGGAATAAATGATACAAAATAAGATACACCAAAATATAAAACTACTTGAATGAATAAAATAAAGTCATTGTAAAGAACTTTATTATTGACCTGTTTAATCATAACTAAAAATCTAATCATAATAATTATAATATTTAATTAGACCTAATGCTTTTCATGAATAAACGTAATTTTCGAGAGCATTTTTTTTGTTTTTACAACGTTGATTTATTTCTTTTCATTCAAAGACTTGTCTGTTGTGTCTGAATTAAAAATTCAAACACTAAATTTGACATGGAAATTGGATATGTTATTGGGCTGGATACAAGAAATGTCGTGTCACCATTTTCGCGTTCCACTTTCGCTTTCAGTCAGTGATAAAATACAAGTAATGTGGTAAATGATAAGTAATTAGAGATAAGTGATAATAGATAAATAAAAAGCGATAAGGGAGAAGTGATAAGAGATAACATGTCCACGACTCTAGGTGTTTTCAGTGAAACTAACGTTCAGTCAGTGATAAGAGGTTGGAGATAAAATTTAAGACACTAGAGACGAGAGGTAAGAGATTAGTGATAAGAGATAACGTGTCCACGATTAAATGTTTTCCAGTGAAGCGGAGAAAATGGTAACTGCGTTCCCGATAGCATTAGACTGACATAATTGTTTGGAAATCGGATTACCTCTGGGGTTAGGTTAGGTTGGACGAGGTTTTTCAGGTGGACGGTTCGGTTAGGTTCGTATGACGATTTCCACGAACCTCGCAAGTAGTCCTACGTTGGAAAAAGACTTTTAGGCCTCTAAATTATTATTCGACCACGTGTGTTTAGCTCTCACACACACACACACAGCACAGACCTGGCATGTGTCCAAGCCATTATGGACGGGCACCTGTACGGCTGCGGGTTGACAGGTGTCGAAATGATTTGGACGGATGATAACGTCCACGGCGAACGGATCGATAGACCGTCGGTGAAAATTAATTATAGATTTCTCGGCGGAAATTCCTAGTGTTGT